AGAGTGAAATTGTTAAAGAAAAAAAGAATAGGGTTGAATGCGAAAAAAGAAATTTATATGGGGAGTAGAATGAACTCTAAATCTTTCTTAAAGAAAAAAAAAGTAACAACCTCTTTTAAAGGGAAGATAGCCGCTATTTTAAATTCTAAATGAAAAGAGAGAAGAGGATAGGAGTTGTTATTATTATTATTATTATTACCAAGAGTAAATTACTTATTTTTATAAATATATTATGAAATAACAGTTTATTTATAACAAATATAAAATAAAAAAATTAAAGATAAATTATAATAATCTCTTTAAACATTATAAAAACACCAATTAATTAAAAAATGACTAAGGTGAACTAAACAATTTTAAAAATTAGAGAGAGTGGATATTAATTTAAATTTAGATAAAAATTAATGTAAAGTAAAAAATATATAAAAAGAAGGGTATTGAATAAAATTAACAAAATTATCAATAGCCTCACTAGCTACCTATTGCCAAGGCATGTTTGGGCATATAAACCCAAGTCGATGCATATATGCTATTTTATTTTAATATGTTTTCTTGACAATGATTAGACAACTTGACATTTTTTTTTGATATATTTTATTAGCAGAAAAAACTAATAATTATTTTTATAATATTAATAAACTAATTTTTCAAATCAAAACATCCTTATATTTGTCCAAAAAAATTTAATTTTTTTTTTCAATTTCAATCTACCTTTTCAACAAGATGAAGGGTAAAAAACATATTATTGATTTTTTTTTGTTAAATATAACTTGTTTATATAAAAAATGATTTTTTTTTATTGTTGAAATATGTCTAATTGACAACTTTTTTTTTCATGTTTTATTTTTTAGCGACTCTCTCTTTTATCTCTCAATCTAATGATCCAAAAATAAATAAAATAAATTTTTGAATGAAAACTAAAATTCTAAAAACTATAAGTATTGTAAAGGAAAAATATAAAAAACATGTGGGCTGAAAATAACTTTTTCATGCGAATACAAGACCGGCAACACGAATTCTTCTTGTTTTACAGTTTTGTTTCTTTTAATTTTATGTTTTTACTATAAATTATAAGAAATTGAAGATTAAATTAAAAAAAAACGCAAATGAAAATAGATTTAAGTACAAAAAAAAAGAAGATACCGTGGATTATTGCTGCAGTAAATACCTATTGACTTTTAGTTTATAGTCAGTGATACAAAATGATAATCATGAGAGTTCTCTTAGAATTAAAATTAAAATATACAGTTAATTAATTATATTAAAATATTGTGGCATCAAATGATAAAAATATATACAAAAAGTGTTTTTTCAACCATTATTGTAAATATTCTGATTGGAAAAGGCTAATAATTGCACCCAAATTCATATCTATGGATACATTATAGATTTTACGAATATATTGGATGAGGTTCTATCAAAATAATCATATAGGTGATAAATGCAGAACTCATCAGCATCTCTTCACTCAATTATTTGTCACTAATGTTAAATTTCCATTCTCACAGGCCCCAAAAAGTTTAGCCCTCTCATTTTGTTGTTATCCTCTAATAAATGATCTGACTTCTACTTATACAACTTAAACACACATGTAAATCAATATATAAAAGAAATTTAACTTGTAAATTTGTTGATATAATATGAACTTAAAGAATAGAATGAGGTAAGTATCAATTTATTGAAATTTAACTTTTGAATTATTATTTTTTTCATCCTTAGATACTTTTTTATCATGAAATTTTCACTGTCACATGCCCTAGAAACGTTTAGACCTCTTATTTTCTATCATGAAATTTTCACTGTCACAGGCCCTAGAAACATTTAGACCTCTCGTTTTCTATCATGTTCAACGTAAAAGACTTTTCAAATTCAGAAATGAGAATGCTGAAGTCGTAATTATCCTGTTTCCATTTCACTTCCCTTCAATGTCACTTCATCAGGATCATGTTCTTACAGCTGTATGCACGATGATATTTTCAGAAACTGAACCTTAAACTGGGTTAAATTTCAGGCAAGACTTTTCCAACACTGTACAACGGTGGCATGTTCTTTAACTAATTCAAGTCATCGTTTGCAACCATTTTATTCTCAAATCTTGATTTCTCAACTGGGAACTTTTATATGAACCACGTAACGGAAAATGTTAAAATTCTTATAAAATGACTTTGTTTCTTACAATAAAAATATAATTTAGAAGAAAATATTGATGAAAAACTTTGAAAACAAACGAAAGTCCTTAATTGATAATTTTTAAAGGTGGATGAAAATATGAATGACAAACCTTTAAAATAGATGGAAGTTTTTTATTAAGATTTTTTAAAGGTTTGAGAGTAAAATTGATGCAAAAAATTATTTTGTGGCAAGATCGAAACAACCTGTACAGTTGGAGGGCATTTTGTAGATTTGATAAGACATTGTCTGCTCGAGGATTCATTCTACTTTTTTCCAAATGAATGTGTTGTTTTCGTAATGAATGTCTTTAACTGTTGTATTGGCAGGATCGCCACCACGCAGAATGACAGGAAACGACTCCCATAATTGGTGGTTGAAAATGTTGGGAATTCCGACCGGTGATGTACTGATATTTGCTCATAGGAGGCCAAGTACACTGATACAATATTTAACGTGGTTCGACAAAACCGCCTACATCCACGGGAGAAGCCATTGCATTATGTAGGGAGAGTACAAGATTTACAACAATAGAGGAGGAGGAATCATCCCCTCTTTGGCAACTCTCAACCTCACTCTATTTCTCTCATTTTAGTGCTGCAATGGCAGCTCACTCTCTCCTACATTTCTCACATATTTGGCTCTACTTCCTCTCTCTCATTTTGCTCTCTCATATATGCCTCTATTTATAGGCATTCATGGAAGCTTTTCTTGGTTTGTTGTCAACATTGATGGCTACCAACTCTAGCTCATTCAACAATGGTGGCCACCAACTCTATCTCATTCAACAATGGTGGCTATCAATAGTCAATGATAAATGGTTGGTGCCTTACATGAAATGACAACCAACCTAACAGAAAAGTCTTGTTATGGTAAATAGTACAATTATCTTTTGTTTAATTTCCATAATATGTCTGGAGTGTTGATTCAGTTTTGGTGAAGAGGCATGACTTCTATTTAGATTACGAATCAAAGAACAAGAAGATAACAAGAAATATAGATATTGATTTATGACCTTTCAATGACAAATGTCTCAGAGAAGGTATTAAAAATCATGTATTCATCCTTTATACTCTCTTGAAATATGTGTATTACTCGAGAGAATTGCTATAAATAAAAAGATTGCATCCATTAAAAAAAAAAAGTAACTCATGAAAATGGATTCCTGGACCCAAAAAAAAGAAAGAATTCAATAGGTGTTAGATAGATCTATAAAAAAACAAAAAGAGGTACAAGATAAAATTAAAAAAAGAAGAAGAAGATATAGTCAAAAGAATTAATTACAATGAGGTTTTTGCTTTAATTAATAATATTAAAAGTAAGTTATAAGAAATTGAAAACGTGTAAGACCGAAAGTTAATTTCATTTGAAAAAGTTATGAATTAAGATTTAGAAATACAAATACGGTTTGGAAAAATAAAATTAATATTGACTATAATCGTGAAACTATCTTTATCAATTTTTGATAATAGTAAAATACAAATAACATCAATATTATTACGGTAGGATACCATGAAGAGAAAAAAAATAAAAAAATAATGATAGTTGATATCAAGAAAGAATGTTGAAATTCAATATTAATTAGGATTTAAATAGCTAAAATTTAAAATTTGTAAGTGTTTTTACGATTAGTTAAAAAAGGAATCATAATTAGGAATTTTTTATGAAAAACAATTTGTAATAGACTAGTTTATTAAATTTTTTGTTTAATTAGAATATTAGATTTTTTATTAAATTAAAATTTTCTTTGAGTAGTTTAATTTTTGATTATCTAAGACTTAAGACTTATAAATAAATTTATAATTAGAAGTATAATATATAAAAATAGAAAAATATAAAAAAGAGCTATATATATATATATATATATATTAAATAACTCTTAATAAAAAATATTAGTTCTCTTATTATTCTTCTTGTTCTTTAACTTTATTCTTGTAAATAGCTACCACACTATATCCAACTTTCCCAACATATTTCTACCAACTTAAAAGAGAAAATTAATTACAGAGCAAGAATCCGACATGGAACAATAACAAAGACTAAGTCTAACTAAGACTTTTTCAAACTTCAAAGGCAAACTCTCGTGAGTTTTAACAGTCTCGGGGTCTCCTTTTATATGTTCTATATGTGTTCTTCTTTCCATGGTATAGTCTGTGCAAGTTTTTGAAAGAAATGGCATTTGATCTTCCTTGTATCCTGTACTTCTTCTTTTTTCTGTTCCCAAGTTCTTTGGTAGCTCAAAGGAATGGAAATGTAACGGTGGGAGACTCCCTCACTGCAGGCGATGAGGCAACACTGTGGCTTTCTCCTGCTGGGGATTTCGCTTTTGGGTTTCGTCAGCTAGACAAAAAGGATCTCTACTTGCTTGCCATATGGTATAACAAAATCCCAGACAAAACCATAGTTTGGTATGCAAATGGAGATAGACCTGCGCCAAAAAAGTCCACGGTGAAGTTAACTGCTGAACTTGGAGTAGTGCTTAACAATCCTCAAGGTGGAGAAATCTGGAAATCTGGTCCTGGTAACGGTGAGGCAGCGTATGGTTTCATGAATGACACAGGCAACTTCCTGGTTGCAAATGCAAATGGAGAAAAGTTGTGGCAGAGCTTTGAGTTGCTTGCTGATACCCTGTTGCCTACACAGATAATGGAAAAGGGGGGAATTCTTTCTTCTAGACTATCAGAGACCAACTTTTCAAAAGGCAGGTTCCAGTTCCGTTTGATTCAGGACGGAAATGCTGTGCTTAATACCATCAATTTGCCAACTGGGTTTCCATATGAAGCCTACTTTTGGAGCAACACAGTAGATTCTAACTCATCAAATGCTGGATATCAAGTTGTCTTCAATGAGTCCGGATACTTGTATGTTTTGAGAGCAAGCAATATAAGAGAGGTATTGACACCAGGAAGAGTAGTCCCAGCTACTGAAAATTATCATAGAGCAACTTTACATTTTGATGGAGTTTTCGTCCTGTACTCTCACCCGAAGAATTCTCCTGGTAATGAAAGCTGGTCTGTCGTTCGCACCATGCCAGTAAATATTTGCACTGCTGTTCGTGGACTGAAAGGTACAGGACCTTGCGGATTTAATGGTGTCTGCACAATCAGTACAGATCAGAGGGCAATCTGCAGATGTCCAGAGAGATTTTCTCTACTTGATCCTGATGATCCATACGGAGGCTGCAAACCAGATTTTCCGACACAGGTCTGTGCAGAAGATGTGCCAAATGCCCCAGAAGATTATGAATTGGTACAGCTCACCAATATTGATTGGCCAGAATCAGATTATGAGATGTACACTCCTTATAATATTGAAGACTGTAAGAAGGCTTGCCTACAAGATTGCTTCTGTAATGTAATTGTGTTTAGAGAAGGAACCTGTTGGAAGAAGAAGCTCCCACTCTCAAATGGGAGGCAAGATGACAGTGTAAATGGAGCGTCATTTATGAAAGTGAGAAAAGGTAATTACACACTACCAGGACCTCCTCCAATCCCGAAGAAGAACCATGATAGTTTAGTCCTAGTCGTCTCCGTGCTCTTGGGTGGATCAGTGTTTTTCAACTTCGTATTGGTTGGTGTGGCTAGTTTTGCTTTTTTCTTCATCTATCACAACAAGTTCAATAGGACTCCTCAAGTTGAAAGAGCTGTGCAATCCAATCTGCGCTGCTTTAGTTACAAAGAGCTTATGGAAGCAACAAATGGGTTCAAGGAAGAAGTAGGAAGGGGAGCTTTTGGCATCGTTTACAAAGGGCTAGTACAAATAGGTTCTGGAGTTCCTGTTGCTATTAAGAAGGTAGACAGGTTTGTTAAAGAAAGTGACAAGGAATTCAAGACTGAAGTTGATGCGATCGCCCAGACACACCACAAGAATCTAGTTCGGCTGATTGGATTTTGTGATGAAGGACAGCACCGTATGTTGGTATACGAGTTCTTGAGCAATGGTACCCTTGCAAGCTTCCTCTTTGGAGATGTAAAACTCAGTTGGAACCAGAGGACCCAAATAGCATTTGGAATTGCAAGAGGACTTCTGTACCTTCATGACGAGTGCAGTACCCAGATCATCCACTGCGATATAAAGCCTCAAAACATTCTGCTCGATGAACATTACGATGCCAGGATTGCTGATTTTGGATTGGCAAAACTCTTGTCTCTAGATCAGAGCCAAACATTTACTGCCATTAGAGGAACTAAAGGGTACGTGGCACCAGAATGGTTTAGGAACAAGCTGATCACAGTGAAGGTGGATGTGTACAGTTTTGGTGTCTTGTTGTTGGAGATTATCTGTTGTCGAAGAAGTGTAGATACAGAAGTAGTAGAGGAGAGAGCAATTCTAACAGACTGGGCTTATGATTGCTATCAACAAGGCATGATGCATGCTTTGGTTGAAAACGATGAGGAGGCCTTGAATGATATGAAGAAGCTCGAGAGGTTTGTGATGGTTGCAATTTGGTGCATTCAGGAAGACCCCAATCTGAGACCAACCATGAAGATGGTTATGCTGATGCTCGAAGGCATAATTCAAGTTCCTGTTCCACCATGTCCAAGCCCATTTAGTATAGCTAGTTGAAACCAGCTCCTCGGAATCACAGCCATTATCATTAATTCATTATAGATTGCAACTGCCTTGTGCTTTTACACCCTTTTCAGGTTAGTTTACACTTCTCGGGTCGAGATGATGTTTTCTTTTCGCTGTATGAAGTTAAAGAGCTGCTTATTGTGATGTTTTGAAAATTAGTAGGAAGGGGCAATCAAGTTCTTGGTGGCTTAAAGAGTAAGTATAATTAAATGTGAGGTATTATAGTAATTAAATAATATTTGATAAATATAAATAGAAAAAAAAAGAAACAAAGAGAGAGCTGTGTTTTCTAGAGCAAACCGTGAGAGAGAAAGGAGAAAGAAGAAGAAAAAGAGGAAGAAAAGGAAAAAAGAAGAGATTGAAAGAAAGTAAGTTTAAAGGTAAGATTTAGGTTGTTAAATATATAAATATGTTCTTTGAACTTTAAACTTCTGTTTTGATAAATATTAGGGTTTTAAAAATTTGTGTTTTGGGTTAATTGATGAATTAATTTGAATGTTATAGGGTTGATTGTTGTGGGTAATTGATTATTTAGTTGATTATGGAAGATTCTAGGTAAAGATGATGATTTTGAGTTATGATTTGTGTAAATGGTGAATTTTGAGTTAGAAGTCTGGAAAGAACAGTAGGTAATCTATGAACAATTCTGGGTTTGAGGTTGAAGATGATGAAAATTCATTTTGGTCCCTTAATGTGTGGAAATTACAATTTAGTTCCTAAACTGTTGGAAAATTATAATTTGACCCCTAATTGTATTTTGAGATTCTGGACAGTGTTATTATGAGGTTAAGGATGATGAATCTCAGTTCGGTCCCTATTTCGTTCTAGACAGAATTAAGGATGGTTTATGGGTGAAATTTCAGTATGGTTATCGATTTACAGTTTGGTCCAATTTTGGTAAAATTACATTTTGGTCCCTGTTTTGGATAATTGTCGTTTTAGTCCCTAAACCTAGGAGACTAAACCTGATTTTATTTTATGCATTGAGATATTTTGTTTGAGTTTTTTTTTTTAGTATATTTCATATATATTATTGTAGGTTCTCCTAACGATCCTCAATAGGATTTTCGGGTCTTTCGTCTTACGTTCCTTTTAGTTCTATATTTTATGGGTGCGAGGGATAATTTTTAATATGAATATAATATAAATAAATATGTATGTTGATTATATGATGAGTACAATTAGTTAATCTCTTGAATATTTATATATTTTGCTTTATTTTCCGAGTACTCATCTATTTTTGAATTTGCACTCGCATTCTGTCAAGCTAAATTCTATTTGATATGATATACGTTTCTTTGATGATTCTATGAATATCTATTATGCCTTGATATAGGACTTGTTAGTAACTCCATGCTAACGGAGAGTAGTTAGTCTATGTGCACATAGTATTTTGTATACCTAACTGATGAGAGAGGCATCAGCCTGTGGCAACTAATCATCCCACAGTGGTCACCTTCGGGTGTCATCTGATCTCTGATATGTATTTCACTATGTTATGATAATATATATATCATTTTACTACGTTATGATAATATGCTTAGTATGTATATGTATATCATTCAACTACTTTATGATAATATGTTTAGTATGTATATTTATATGTATATGTATATCAAGATAAATCATCTGATAAATTATTAATATAAAAAATATATAAAATATATATTAAATATTATTCCCTCATTAAGTTGTTTGAACTCACCCCTCGTTCTTAATATTATTTTAGGTTCTTAGTTTCTGATAGCAGTTGGACTTTGTTGAGTGTTCCTACTTCTTCAGTTTTGGGTAGGTATGCCTTGCTTATTGTTCAAGGTTGTTTTGGTTCAATGTCTTAGACGCTCTACTATTACTCTGTTTTAATTAAGTTTGGATTTTGACAATATAATGAGTATTATGAATTATTATTTTTGTTTTAATTACTGATGAATAGTTTTGAACTATCCTTTGATTTCATCAGCTTTGAGTAATATAATATTTCTAATGATTATAAAATGCTATGTATTTTTGAATATCTTGTTCTTTTGATATGTCTGTTTTAAGGCTTAGAGTAAGTGGGGTGTCCTTTCGACACTGCTCCTGCGTTGCCGGTCATGGACCCGGGATTTAGGTCGTGACACTTATAGAACTGTAACTTTAACATAAATGTTTCCCCAGTGATCTAAAACTCAGGAGCTATGCTCTGAATATAAATTATTTTCCAGGTAATTCTAATTTTCGATGTTAGATATTACTAGCTCTCAACCTTTGCTAGTATCTAACAACCAGCTATATTACAAAATAAGCATTGCTAGGTTTTGCTCAAAACCTCATAATACATTGTGTCATAACCCGACCCTTTTATTCTTCTTCTTCTTCTTTTTTACTGTATTTCCTAAAAAATGATAATAAAAAATGATGACAAAAGATGAAAAAATAAAAAAAAACTAAATAAATGAAGAATGAATTAAAATTTGGGTTAAGGAAACATAAATTGGAAAATGAAATCAGGAGTTTAATTGAAAAAATATCAATGTTTGGGATTGATTCAGTTTAAAACGACAAGAAATAAAAGTCTAAGGATCATTATGTAAATGATGCTAAAATTCAGGGGTCCAATTAAAGTTTATGCACGGAGCTTGATTACAAAACTTCAAAGACCAAAATGGCCATTAACATCGAACGACGCCGTTTCAATTAGAACCGCTCGTCTTCTTCCGCTCACCAAACCAGAGAAACAGAAATATTCATACATTTTTTTGAATTTATTTATAAGTCTCTTGTAATTATTTTTAAGTATTTGACTGTGTAATTAATCTGTAGATTTTTATTATGAAATATAAATCTAGATTTTTTAGAAAAAAAATAAAATATAGAAAACATATGCATGCATTAAAAATAATTTTTTTATTGGTTTATTCACTGGCACCAGAGTCAAGAATAAAAATATTAATTTTAAATTTATTTTACTTTTTTTAGCTACTTAATATTTATCAACGTCAAAATTAAAAATATCCGTAGTTGAATATTCACCGATGCTAGAGTCAAGAATATTACAAGCAAACTATCATAGCATAGACTAACAAATTTTTAACAATTTAAAACAAAATCAGTAATGCAGCTTGCTATAGGCAAGACGTTTGAGGAGTGATGATATTTTTTCTTTTACGTAACTAGTCTCATACCATAAAATTTATGTTGACCAATTAGAGTTTCTAGTGATTATAATACTTGATGACGACTCCTTAAATAAGACCTTTCCTCAACAAAAAAACAATATACTAGAAATTTATTCATTTTCTTTATGAATTTTTAAATCCGTCATGATGTCGGGTGCGACATACTGATTTCAAGTTTTCCCCTTCATCATTCTACCAAGTGGTTATTTGGTATTGTGGTTACTGGTGAAGTTTACCCGCAACCACAGTTTTTCTTGTTTGGTTAAGCAAAAAACATAATTTTTTCTGTAGGACTCACCATTTATTAAATTTGTGCCGCAGATTTACCAAAAGCTTTATTTTGCTGCTTCTTGGGTGAAGAAATCACTGAACAATATAGTCATGCTCCACTGTTCACGTGTCGGCCAGACTGGTCCAGTCCAAAGCTAAAAATATATTGAACCATGTCTAACCTAGTAAAATAAAATAAAAATTTTATTATTTATTTTTTATTGTGTTTTATTCGAAAAACTAATGTTAAACATTATTTAATGACACTACATAAATTAGACTGAGATCGCTTGATGACGAAACATTTGTTTATTGTGTTTTATTCGAAAAATTAATGTTAAACATTATTTAATGACACTACATAAATTAAACGGAGATCGCTTGATGACAAAACATTTATAAAATTTGATAGCAAATCCTAATTTTGTTTCAAATTATATTTTTCCTGATATTATTGTGCTGTTAAGAAACCAAGAAAACTACAAATAATTTGATGGAATAATAAAAAATATTTTATATAAAGTATTATTTATTTCATAACATGATAACAATAATTAAATTTATAATATTTAAATTAAAAACCATCAATTTTAAAAATAATTTTTTAACTAAATACATTAAACTATTTTTATTCAACCTCAAATTTAACTATAATTTTAATCATATATATATATATATATATAAATAACAAATTAATCCTAATTAAAAATCCCTTTTATAATTTTTTTTTCACACTACAACCGCAGCAATTACAATTACGTATTAATAAACAAACTCTAAAAACATATCGGGGTAGTGCTTCTGTTTCTCAAGTTATTATAGTAAATTCAATTCAGACGGTTCAGTAGCCACCAACCATTGACAGACAGCACCCAGCTGTCTTCACACATCAAATCGTGTTAATAATATCATTATTTTTCACTTTAATTTGTAACAACATGCAGACAGATCTATTTTAATGTTTAAAATAATATATATATATATATATATATATATATATATCATTATTTTCACTTTAATTTGCAATGAATATTAATTTTTTTTAACAATTAATTTATATAAAAATTAATTTACTCTTATTAAAAATAATTTATCATTAATTGTTTTATTTAATTTATATAAAAATTAACTTACTCTAATTAATCTATTTTTTAATTGTTACGAAGTATTAAAAAATTGTACAAAATAATGTATTGTTTATTTTGAATAAATATTTTTTTCATATTAATTTTGATGAAATGAAAAAACCAAACTTAATTTTAATACATTTACATCCATAAAAAATATTCTAAAATATTTGAAAATGAATAAATTAAAAATAAATAAATATATAGGTTTGGTACCAAGCCAACCACTACTAGGCTTGTTCGATAATTTAGCTGGATTCTGTATTGTAAACATTTTCTCTATTTTATTTATAGTTTTCATATATTTTTAATGATTTTTGCATTTATATTTTCTAGTTTTCAGATCTAATAGTAAAAATTAATTTAATTAAAATAAATGGTTAGGATATATCTGATAAAAAGGTAAAGATTGAGATTGTAAAATGTTTAAATAGACATTTATGAAAAACAAATAAACTTGATTTTGTCTATATCACATCTAGCTTCTTTTTTAAAAAAAGACAAAAAAATTGGCTAAAAAACATTTATAAGACAAAGACTAAAATCTATTTTTATCTTTGTTTTAACGACAAAACATATTTATGTCCTAATTTTTTTTTTCTGTTTTTTATTAAGAAATAGTAACCGAATGCTATCTAAATATATGATTAAAAAACATTTTAATTCCACCATGAGTAATCATGACAATCTTCTATGTCAATATGTCATTTAAATATTGTTCTCCCTTTCTCTCACATGGAAAAGGACACAATGAAGCTTCCATGTTTCAAAGAAAGAAAGAAATGTCTACCCTAAATGTATAGAAATTAACATCAGACCATTCCCTTTTCATTTTTCGGCGAGGAGATGACTCTATGTCTTTCCACACACAGAAATTGACCCAAGCAACGTGAAGTTCCATCCCTCTAACAAGTGCTTCCGCAATCATCGCCAATTAATTAACTACGCTCGTAGAATTTCCAAAACGCGGGTTTGATGCATGAAAAGTGAGTTTAGCTAATTCTTATTTCAGATAAGTTTTTTTGTTTAACGAAGGGAATGGGGAAATTAAATTAAAGCAGGTTCTGTTGCAGGTCTATTTCAATGACAAATGTCTTATAAAAGGTCTTAAAAATCATGTGTTCATCCTTTATACTCTCTGGAAAAATGTGTAATACTCGAAACTTCGTGGAAGTAATAAATATGATTCATTGGAAGGTTGTCTCTGTTAGAATCTTGACAGAATTAATCTCTTGCTAATGAACAAGCAAGATCACCAAGTCCACCAAGACTCACTAAGAAAATATGTACTGTTAAATCTGCAGAACCTGTATTAATCTCTAACTTATAACACTTTAAAATTTTTGTTGATCCTTGACTAAGCATCTTGGAATCTGAATGGCATATCTTAGAATGCATATGGTTATATTTTTTTTTTTTTTTTTAAGAATTCGAAATCTTTTTTCGGCTAATTTCCATACTCGCCTTTGGCTAAAAACATGTTATTTTTGAATTTTATGCATTTCCTGGATTGTTTTAAAAAATCTTTGGAATTTAACGTCAAAATTTGGGTTATGAAACCTTTCGTTGAAACTTTGATACAATTCACACCATAACCTAATAAAAACACTATTTCTTTAATACGTTTTGCTTTCCTTTCAATTATTTTTTTTCCTTATACATTATTCTCCAAGACAGCTGCAATTTTTCTTCTGATCTATGAGAATGAGATGCATTGATCATAGCTTAAATCAAGTAGCCTCTACTCCTAAGGGACAGAACAGCGCATCAGGCTTTGCTAGGTTAGGGTGAGAAACAATGAGGCGTGCAATTTCAAAACCCTTGTGGAAAAAGTATGATCACCTTCTTTCTAATTTCCATAACATGTCTGGAGTGTTGGTCAAGTTTTGGTGACTAGAAATCTTAGCAGCTTGGAATCGTCAACGTCTAATTTCTATAACGCGGAACTAGCCCCACTCCTATATGTATATATTACCAAGTTTCTTGTTCATTCAGCTAAATCCATCCAACTATTACTAGCAATGGACTCTAAATTTGCCTTCTCATGTCTTCTGTTCTACTTCCTCGTGTCCCTACATTCTGTCATAAGTCAAACGAGCGGTACTGTTAATGTGGGCGAATCCCTCACTGCCATGGGTCAGAATCCTCCATGGCTTTCTCCTTCCAATGATTTTGCATTTGGATTCCGCCAAATTAGCGAGAATGATGATTTCTTCTTTCTTGCCATATGGTATTATAAAATTCCTGACAGAACCGTAGTTTGGTATGCTAACGGAGGAAATC